CAAGGACGTGGTGGTAACCTTTTAAAACAAAGACACAGAAGAGCATATGTTCAAATTCATTTGTGATTGGTAGAAGGGTGTATCCATTTCAGGTACGACCGGGAACCAGCGATATGCGTTCACATATATTTATCAAGAAGCAGAGTGTGGAATCTTTAAAGGGAGACATGGTAAGGGCCATATGAAAGAGAAAGAAAGGAATTCCAGCATCAAGAAGGTATCTACCTGGCTGGAACAAGAAACCTTAATTAAATCAAAGATGAATAGTTTTTTTCCTAACCTAAGTAGAAGGGATTAGAATGGGAAGTCATTAGTATTTGCAAAGGACAAAATGAGATGCTAATGTTCTCTGTATTCACAACGTTCTCTGTAGTAAATGTGAAATCCTTAGATGGCAAACACCCCTCAATGAACAACAGCAGGACAAGACGTAAATCAGTATCACATGCTCTTCTTTCTGTGAACTGGAGGAGGATGTATTATTATAGCATGAACATTTAAAGGAAAAATACTGAAATATACTTCAAAGTTTTAGGTGATATTCTAGAAGTACAACTCAATACGTGCATATATTTGCTTGATGATGTCAATAACATTTAAAAATGTATTTCAGTTACCGACCTGCAAAGGGTTTCTATCAGTGAGAAGGTAAACTTCCTTGAAAGATAATAAAGAAAGGTAAAATTTGGTATCACAGGCTGGGACAGTAAATCGTTGCTGACTAAAGGATGCACAAGAGACATGGAAAGGTTTAGTAGCACAGAGGTCATTCACTCTGAAGCTAATAAACAGGCCTGACTCAGAAGGCAACCAGGAAACCGGGTAGTCTGTACTGTCAGGGCGCCCCCTGCTGCCCATTGAGGCAGCAGCACGCTGGAGAGCTCCTGGCAGTGGGCGGTCTCTTTCCCAGCTAGGGACAAGGATTTTTCTGCAACGGTGGAAGGCATATGGATTTAAATTACACAATGTTAAAACAAAACAAAGCACTCCTCTTTCCAATGAATTCTACATGCAATAATCAGTTACCCACTCTCTTCGGGATCATTTTCACATCATTCGTAGTCAAAGGAGTACTTTTCTTCCAGGAGAATACTAGAATACCACAGAAACCTTGTGGAGTATTAATTGTTACAGAGACTCTAGGAATGTCAAAAAGGGAGAAAATCCTAATGAGGTTAGGGGAGACAGAATTTTCTGGGGTGAGGGAATGAAAAGCAGGGTACAGCGTGCCTCTTGGCAATTCTCTGATATGCAGTAACTCGCGGCTGCGAAATGTGCCATTGTAACCAGATGAGATGGGACAATCGGTGGCTGCAGTGGAGGGAGCTCTTTTAGTCTGTGGCGAGTGTACATTGGATGCCATATTACTGCAAATCAAAAAGCTCATGACTCAAGTGAAACACATAGCCCATTACATGGTAACAAATATTAGAAAAAGAGGGTGTATTTTTTTTCATTAGATGAAAAGTATAAGAAAATTATGTCTTGAGCAAGCCATATAGCACCTGTTTCATTCAGGTTTTATTACGAAGATCCCTGATTTATTCATGAAAATGTGAGAGTAAACTCATCCACTAAGGGACAGGAACTTCTTGGACCTTGCTCTCCAAACCTGCATGGGAGCAAACCTCCTTCCTCTGACATTGCTGTGGACAAGGGCAGTCGGATTTGATGGTAAGGGCCCGCTTACAAATAAATTGTGACTTTTAAGATGGAAGAGGAAAAAGAAACCAAAATAAAATGTCATCAGGATAAAAGCCCAGGCTAGAGGTTGGGAGATCTGAGCTCTGGTTCAAGTGCTCAGCTTGAGTTCTTCTTAACTAATGTGGGTCTTAAGGATCTGAGGTTTTTGACACAGGGCTGGGGCTCATGTTAAAGGGGTTTAACATGATTATACAGTTTTGTGATTTGGTGAAGAAAATACTCAAATGCTACCTCATTCTGTTAGAGTATATTATCTGCTGTTACCTTTAGACAATTCCAAGCTTAGTTAAGCATTTGGTAGGGTGGGTCTTCCATCAAGATTTGAGCTAATCACAATTCAGGGGTTTTCCCTCCCTCCCTCCCTTCTGCAAATATGCAGTGTGAGGCTGCAGTGAGGCAGGCACTATTTAGGACGAGGTTTTGAGAAAAGGGAAAGATAAGCCTAGAAAGCTGATGATGAGTTAACCTTAAGTGAATGTGAAAACATGTATCACTAAGTTAGGCAATTTGCTTTTAAATAATGTGTATATATGTGACAAAGAGACCCCACGTTCTAACCATTTCCTACAGGATATGGAGGCTCAAAGGTCTCTGGTGACTTTATTAACTATGTGCTTCCTCCATTTCATAAATCTTTGGATAAAGACTTCAAATCCGTTCCAAGAGCTCAGATGGAGAAATGGCCATCTGCAGGGAAATTTCACTTGCTTGTAATTGGATATATCTTATAAACATCTATTAAAAAATACCTGGAAATCAGGCTTTCTAAGCCAGAGAACTCTGGTTTGATGGAAAGGGACCTAGGAATTAGCCTACAAGGGAGAAGCGATAAACTCCATCTTCACTGAGAAAGGCTAATTTGGGTTAACTGATTGCCAGATGGCAAGAAAATGGAAATAATTTTAAAGTAATTATGGGAAAGGACTAAGATTTGTTAGCAGATTTGCAATTGCTTTTGAAACCTGAGCTCAATTTCCAAAGGGCTAAGTTTTGAAATGTGACTAATTGAATTACGCTTCTTACACTGAAGATGATGTTATGTATAAAAAATTTTCAATAGGATTATCTCAAAAAACCCTACCCCAAAACCATTCACACAATTTCAATGAGATCAAAAATGAAAAAAAAGAGCATGGTGTGATTGTTTTAACCAAGCTGTCATACGCTACCCTCCATGGGCGATGTAGCGTGCATGCACATATGTACACACGTGTAGACACACACACGCACACACACATGCACGCACGCTCGCACACTGACCTTTCTTCACCATTCTCCCGGCCACCGTGAACTGTGTGGAGTCATTAGCTGCTCCTTTGCCTTTTGTCTTCCAGGCTTCCTCTCTCACCGTGATGAGGTGCTTCCTCTCTTCAATAGTCATTTGGTTCTCTCGACTTTCTGTGACCCGCTGTTTTTAACATGTACAAAGGAGAAAATAAGAGAGGGAAATGAGAGAGTTGTGAATTTTAGCTTGCAGCATGTCATGAGCTGAAAAAAAAAAAGGCATAAAAGAGTACTACACTGTCCCAAACTGGGCATAACTATTCTATCTGAAATAGGCTTGGCTGCCCTATTTCCAGCTTGAGTTAGAGATCACCATCAACAGTACTGAAGGTTTACATTACAATTTAGCAGGTTTTTTTTTTCTTTTCACTCATTTGTTTGGAACACTGGAACATCAGAATGATAATTTGTAAAAATAAACAAAAATAGACTGCCTTCGTGAAATGAACCTTCCTAGTGTTTTAAAGTTGCTCTGTTTTTACCTGTCTGGTTAAATTCAGTTGATGAGGAAATTTTATAAATATACATATCACAAAGAACACAATCAATCTAGAAAACGTTATCCTCTAAGTTTACAAGGAACAGGGGCAACTCCAAAGTAGGGACTGCTGATTAGGCATAAGGTGTACTATGAGGTTTTCTGGAACTCGACATGCTTTTTCCTAGAGCAACTATGTTATATGAGCACTTAGGTAACCAGGTGCATGGATGAGAACTTTAGGTCATAATACATCTGACATTGAGGATGAACGGTGTTCTAGCTATAACGTACCTATATACCATTTTTACCTAAAAAAAAAAAAATGTTTTCAAAAGTTTCTAATTGGGGTTCTGGAAATCCCTGCCTCGTCACTTTCTAAGCCATCGGTGCCACTCCTTTGGCTGAAGAGGAAGATGCTGGAGTGGACTCGAGGGAAACCAGGACAGAACTGGACCAGGGTGAGGGGGCTGCGGTGAGAGGCTGAGGAGCCAGAAGGAGGCAGAGGAGAGAGCTCAAAGCCCTTGGGGCCAGCACGGAGGAGGTGCATGGCCAAGGGAAAGAACATGGATGACGGCAGCAGGGTGAAGGTGGGCGGGAAGTCCTCCAATGTCAGCGGGGACAGACTTTGCTTCCCCTGCTTCCTCACTCGACCGCCCCTTTCACTATAAAACCCCTCTGGGGTGGGAGGCATGGGTCAGGACAAGCAGCAGGGGAGAGGGGCAGGAGCTGTGGGAGCCAGTGTGGAGGCAGGAAGAGAGGAGAGCATCCTCCCAGGGCAGAGAGAGCTTCCCTAGGCTGTCGACCTCAAGGTGGTTCCAGGAAGGGGCTCTAACCATGGCGGTGGCCTCCTTCCTGGGTTTGTGCTTTTGTTTTCACCTCAGGATCTTCTTAGACTGAGGATGCCATTTCTGCTGAGGCATTTGCTTTCAAACTATAGCTGAACTCTTCTTAATTACTTCTGGCAGTTTTCCCAGCTCCTCTTCCCTCACAGGAATTTTTCCTTGAATAAGAAGTCAACACAGATCCAAGGGATGGTCAGGCCTTCCACTGACACAGTGCGGGGACCAGGAGAGCCCTGAGGGGAACTACATCCTAGGGCTGGTGATTCTTCCTTCATGACTCCATCCACTACGGCAGATTAGCTTCCCTTAACTGACCAATAGGAAATAACTTCCGGGTTCATGGAGGAAGATAGAAGAGATGAGCACAGGTCTCTTCCTTGAGGCCCTGAAATGATGGAGGGTAATAGAGGAGAGGCATCTTTCCTTCCTTTGCAGCCGTGTAAAACCATGTCTGCACTGGCAAAAGTTGGCTTAAGCCATGGATATGGACCTCTCCATCATCTAGTTTATGAATCTTGATTTTGCAGAATTCTTCTGCAGAGCAATCATAGCAAGAACTGGTTCTGAGATCCTTGGTCATCTAAATTAGGTTAAAAACTTTTTTCTAAAGAGACATGGCAACTAAATGCAATGCGTGATCCTGGCTCAGATCCTAGATGGAGTGGGGGTGCGGCTAAAAGGGACATTATTGGGGGGTGATTGACAATTGAAATATAATTTTGTATTAAACATTGTATCAATATTAAATTTCCTTATCTTGATCACTATATTGTGGTTATGGAAGTCTGCTATAGATTGAATGTTTGTGGTGCTCTCCCCCTTCCCCCGCCCCCCCAAATTCATAGGCTGAAAACTAATCTCTTACTTAACATGATGGGATGAGGAGGTTATAGAAAAGTAACTTTCTGAATCACATACCCTTATTAAATAAACCATGAGATTGGCTTGCCAGGAAGACCTCATCAAAATTCATGGAAGAGAATCAGCTTTCTTTGAAAATGAAGTTTCAGGAGTGAATTTTAATCAAATTAATATGGCACTTGGATTACAATATTTTGAGAAAACATATAAAGTGCCAAGAAAGTTTGCCTCTCCAGGGGTCCAGGCACCCCAGCTCTGCAGCAAACTCAGTATCACATCTGCAAAGTCCTGGGTGTGGGGGTGGGTGTGGTTACTGACTCAGAGGAATGGTATTCCCGAATCAGCAGTTCCATTTTCCAAAACTCTAGCGTTCCCCTAGAGCCCCTGGGAAACTGTGACAGCTCCCAGTCCTGGAATGATACAGCTGTTTTAGATTTTAAGGCTTCCAGTAATTTGCCAGACCTGTGTTAAGAAGGTGCATTCTTTCGTTCCCCTCTAAATGACAACATTACACATAAATGTTTGTGCTTCTGTGGAGGTTTCATCTTAACTTTGCTGCTTAGTGGGTTGATTTAGGGCCCACAAATTCCCACTACCTCACCTTACATGGCTCTAGAATGGGGTAAGGAATGTATAGCTTGTCTATGTACTAGAGAATCTAATTAAAATGTATATCCCAAGTTGCTATTAAATTATAGAACTCAAAATTTGAAAACGAGTAAGATAGACATAGACATCTTTGTCTATGTCATTTACTTTCCTTTTTTTTTTTATCTTAAAACTTCATTGTTGTTCTGATCTTCCCTTCTAAGTTTTTCTTTCCTTGTTTAGAGAAGGACATAATACATATTGTAATAGTATTGTGCCATTTTCCAGGTTTATCCAGGTTTAGCCGATGATGTTTAGTACTGACTGGAATAGTAAGAGAGAGTTGTCAGAATATAAATAGAAGTCCTACCCTATCTATCCTTCTATTCTTTCAAGTATAGATTCCATGAATATGGTGTGGAGAGATGGAGAGGGAGAGGGGAGGGAAATTGTGTGTGTGTGTGTGTGTGTGTGTGTGTGTGTGTGTGTGTGTGTGTGTGTAGAAGGCTGTGAAACAACTGGAAAGGGAGGAGGGTGGTTGGGATGACCAGAGACTTGTCAGAACACAGCTTAAAGCTGTGCAAAGGATCAATCTGCAAGAGTGTTTTCAGGCTGCTTACATTGTTGACCCTTGAACAACACAGGTTTGACCTGCATGGGTCCACTTAGATGTGGATTTTTTTTCGATAAATACTGTAAATGTATTTTCTCTTCCTTATGATTTTCTTAATAGTATTTTCTTTTCTCTAGTTTATTGTAAGAATACATTTAACATACAAAATGTATGTTAAACACGTGTTTATTTTATCCATAAGGCTTCTGGTCAGTAGTAGGCTATCAGTAGTTACACGCAGATTTTTGACTGCACGGGGGTGGGGGTTCAGTGCTCCTAACCCCGACATTGTTCATGGGTTAACTAGACTGAAGAATCATAGCGCAGATTTTACTAAATGTTTCTGACACAGGGAGGTGATACAAGGGAGAGAAGAACTAACCTGTATTACCAGGATTAGTGCAGACTCAGGGTAACACTCTCCCACAACTGAAGAGCTTTGTGGATAGAAAACATTGTGATCTAGCTTTACATAGCACATTATAAAAGCACATGTGAAGTAACAGGAATAAGGCAAAGTGACAATCAAGTGCTTCTCAGTTTTCAAAAATGCTACCACCGCTTAGAATTCTGTACACTGTTAGAGAAATTTAGCTTTGTCCCTGCCTTAAGTGAGCTTAGTCTACCCTCAAGTGGCCTGAACAAAACATGAAAAAGATCCCAAGTGGGCCTAGGCCCGAAAGTGACCATTACATGGTCTTGTCATCAACTACCAGCTCCTAAAATGAAAGGAGGGAAGTTAAGGGAAATCTTACACTGGTATAGCTCTGAGGCATGTGAGGAAGAAGAAATTGTGTGGAAGCTTGAAAAAGAGACAACTAGTCCATGTAGACAGAGCTGGCATGCTGTTTAAATGCTCTATTTTCTTCTCTGAGCCTCTGCATTACTGAATACTGACACCAGGACTGTTGGAGGAAAGAACGCCCCTGACCTCTGGGAACACAGACAAGCTAGTGCCACATAACTGGTATATAGAATATTTATCTGGGAAGGCTGTCAAGAAGTAAAAATATAGAAGTTGGAAGACATTTTAACTTTGAAGTGATAAAACATAGATTGCCCCTGGTAAAAATATATTTTTAAAACTTAAAAAAAATATATCTGGAGAGATGTTCCATGTTCATGAATAGGAAGATGCAATATTGTGGACGTATCAGTTCTTTCCAACTTAATCTGTAGATTTGATGCAATCCCAATCAAATTCTCAGCAAGTTATTTTGTGGACATTGATAAGCTTATTCTAAAATTTATATGGAGAAGCAAAAGATCCACAATAGTTAATGCAATATTGAAGAAGAACAAAGTTGGAGGACTGACACTACCTGACTTTAAGACTTACTAGAAAGCTATAGTAATCAACACAGTGTGGGTATTAATTAAAAATAGACAAATAGATCAACAGAACAGAATAGAGAGCCCAGAAATAGACCCACACAAACATACTCAACTAATCTTTGACAAAGGAGCAAAGGCAATACAGTGGAGGAAAGATAGTCTTGCCAATAAATAGAAAAACTGGACATTCACATTAAAAAAAAATCTAGATACAGACCTCACATCCTTCAAATATTAACTGAAAACATATCATAGACCTAAAATATAAAACACAAGACTACAAACTTTGTAGAAAATAACAAAGAAGAAAGTTTAGATGACCATGGGTTCAGTGATGACTTTTTAGATACAACACAAAGTCATGACCTGTCAAAGAAATAATTGATAAGATAAACTTTTCTGTTCTGTAAATGACACCTTTAAGAGAATGAGAAGACAAGGAACAGACTGGGGGGAAATATTTGCAAAAGACATATCTGATAAAGGACTATTATCCAAAATATACCAAGAACTCTTATAACTCAACAATGATAAAACCAACCAATCAAATATGGTAAAATGATCTGAACAGACACCTCACTAAAGAAGATATACAGGTGGCAAATAAGCATATGAAAACGTGATCCACATCATATGTCACCAGGGAGATGAAAATTAAATCAATAATGAGACATTGTTACACACCTGTTAGAATGGCAAAAATCCAAAACACTGACAACACCAAATGCTAGCGAGGATGTGGAGCAACAGGAACTTACTCATTGCTGGTGGGAATGTAAAACAGTACAGCCACTTTGGAAGACAGTTTGGCAGTTTCTTACAAAATTAAACATACTCTTACCATATGATCCAGTAATTGAGCTCTTTGATACCCAAATAAGCTGAAAACCTACAGCTATACAAAAACCTGCATCTGGATATTTATTACAGCTTTACTAATAATTGGCAAAATTTGGAAGCAAGCTAGGTGCCCCTCAGTAAACAATGGATAAATATAAACTATTGCATGTCCAGACAAGGAGTATCATTCAGTACTAAAAAGAAATGAGCTATCAAGTAATGAAAGGACATGGAGGAAGCTTAAGTACATATTACTAAGTGAAAGAAGCCAATCTGAAAAGGCTACATACTGTATGATTCCAACTATATGACACTCTGGAAAAGACAAAACTATGGAGACAGTAAAATGATCAGTGGTTGCCAAGGATTGGGGGAGACAGGGATGAATAGACGGAGCACAGAGGATTTTCAGGGCAGTGAAACTATTCTATATGATACTGTAATGATGGCTACAAGTCATTGTGCATTTGTTCAGACCCATAGAAAGTACACCACCAAGAATGAACCCAAATGTAAACCACGGACGTTGGGGGATAATGATGTATCAATGTAGGTTCACCGATTTTAACAAATGTACCACTCTGGTGGGAGGGATGATGACAGTAGGAAAGGCTATGTGTGTGGGGGCAGGGAGTATATGGGAAACCTTTGTACTTTCTGCTCAATTTTGCTGTGAACCAAAAACTGCTTTAAAAATTAAAGTCTATTAAAGAAGTGTATCATATATCTATATCTATCTATCTATCTATCTATCTAAAATATGTAATTTTTATTTTTATTTAAGGAGTTTAATAATGTATCTTTTAAAGTTGACTTATTTAGAAGAAACAACTCATGTCTCCCCTTAGTGATGGAACAGCAAGTTTGCTCCAGATTTCAGCCACTTTTTTAGGTGGACATTGACTGGCTGTGTGGAGCTGGGCTCTCACAGACCAGCGTTCCTAACTTCAGAGAGAAAAAAACAAGGAGAGTGAGGGGGAAAAGTCCACCTTCAGGAGTAGAAACGGGGAGTTTCTGTTTGTTGAAGATGTAAGATGAAGACAGAAGGACCCTAAGATGCCTCTCTCTGGCAGCACTCTGTCAATTTCCTATTTGAAATCCTGTGCCTCAAACTCAAAGACCTGTTTTGTTACTAGCAGTCCTAAAGGGACGGTACCGTCATGAAAATTTTACTAGAGGCCACCTCGGAGGTAATGAGGTCCCAGTCCTGGTGAGGAGACAGAGGGCCTGAGAAGTCACTGGACAACGTTCCATAGATGGAGGGAGACGAGAACCTGGGGTTCGTGGCAAAGTGGATGCAGCCACTTTTCAGTTCTTCTGACACCAGGGACATTCCAAAGGGAATAGAAAACAATCATTGATTTTTTTTTTTTAGCTTTAGAAGCTATTGCGTATTATGCACTAACAGAATCCCTCAGCCCAGGCCATGTCTCCCCTCTGGGTGGGGTTCAGATGGGGTAAGGTGAGGATGGAGATGGAGGGCTGGGGGCAGGAGACCTGTGGTTTCTCATTTAAGTAGAGCCACTGCAAGCAGCTCATGCCACACTGGCCTCTTCCTTCCTGTCTCTTCCTCCCTGTCCCTTCCACACCCCACACTGCCTCCACCACATCCTTCTTGTTTATCAAGCTAAGCAAGACGGCATCATTGCTGAGCTGGAGCAAGAAACCCTCCGGTGTATTTCTCGGACTCCTGGTTCGATTTAGGATGTAAAGCTTGGAGGTTAAAAGGGGAAACTTTCTTCTTCAACCAGTTTCATGACTATGAGGTGAATGAATATCATCAGGTCTACTTGAAAGTATGAATCAATGAGGTGATATGTGTGACTGACTCTAAATATATGGAGAACTGATTAAACACTCTCTCTCTCTCTCTCTCTCTCTCTCTCTCTCTCTCTCTCTCTCTCTCACACACACACACACACACACACACACACACACACACACAAATGCAGCAAAAGAGTTACTTTCCCAAATGAAACAACTTCTTTCCTACTGTTCAGAAATTGCAATGAGGCTTAATATGTGTAAGCTTTTCCTCACCTGATTAATAGATACAAAAGACAGGTATTTATGGGCAGCAGGTATAGCAGGAGAATAAGTAGAAGCATATACAGGTTCCTATAGAGCAAAGCAAGAGGATTAGAGGTGAAAAGAGAAGATTTATCAGAGCAGGGTTGGGAAGGGGAGAGACAAAACCAATGATTTCTCTAATGGGATGTTAATTTACTCATTGCAATTTCAGTTCTCTTTTCAAAAGAGTCCTTCCTATTGTTTTTATTTTTTTAGAACGCTGAAATAAATCCACGCAAGCGCAGTAAATATACCCGAGTCAGCTTTGTGTAGTAATTAGCTGAATTAATGGCAAGATTACTACAGTTTATAGAAGATATTCAGTTACAGAGAGGGGACCCATGGCTTTCATCAACACTTTTAACATTTACCATAAAATATCTTCTTTAAAATTAACATTTTTTTTCATTACATGATCTAAAAAAAAATTCAGGAGACAGGATAGCTCTCCACTCTGGATAAAAGTGGCATCTTCCCTCAGGAATAAAAAAACAAAAACAAAAAAACCTAACAAAACAGGGCGGGGGCCCACAGGGAACCATCACTGATGAGAAGTACACATGGTGGAGTAACTGGCTATAATCTAGAGGACACCTATGTTAGAGTCAGGCTTACCCAAAGCAGATTAGAAACGGCACTATCATCTGTAAATCCTCCTTCTTCCTACAGGTTAAAACAAACAGGTAACATTGCAGAGTATCAGAAGAGCAGGGTCGAGTTGGGTATCACAGTCATTTCCCAGTGTTTGTGCCTGGGTTCAGTTAGCAGCATGCACATGCTCATAGCGGGTGGTGGCACGAAGGCCCAGTGCTCTCATACCCGTCAGCAGGAGGGTGACCTTTAATCTGAGCCCCTCTCTTCTTCCTGCCCTTGATCTTTACACTGATTTCATTCCCCTAAATTGTGAATTGGAATCCCAGTGACAGCAGGCAATTAGAACATGCAGGTGGCAGGTTTACCGTCCTTGAATTTCCCAGGACTTATTTTAGGGACCTCATAGATCTTAACTTGATTCACTGACTTGATCCTATGTAAGCACAGTAGACAGAAAATCAGGTTGTAATGGTCAACCCCACGAAGGGTTTTATTTCTTGGAAAAGTCTGATATCCTGGGTGATTATCTTAACAAAAGGGCATGGGATTCGCTGTCTAGGCCTTACTGTCAAATATGCCAAAATGGGGTTGGAATTTAAAAGAATTGTTTGGTGAAAATAAATGACTGCAACTTAGTTGTGACAAAGAGACTCCTGCCAAATCACATCTTTCAAACTTCGCTTCATTTAATTTCTCTCAGTCTTTTGATGGAGTAAGTTACTCTGTGGGAAACGGTCCACAGATCGTGCTCTGGTACACACATTCCACACAGTGTGGACCAGGCCAAATCTACAAACCAAATGGCTGCACTGTCTTTAGAAGGAATCATAGATGCTACAAAAGCAAAAATGTTTAAGTTAGGTTAGCGCTGCCCTAGGCTAGGCCAAGAGTGGGAGAAAGAAAAAAGAAGAAAAGAAGGGTGGCAAGGGAGTGAAAACAAGAGAGGAGAGAGAAAGACCCCAAGCCATTTGTCACAGAGTCAGCTCTGTAAATGATTAGTGTGCCCTTAGGCTCCGATTCATCAATCTTGATATTAGGGGATAAATTTGGAAAGCAAGGAACTGCTGTTAAATTACATATTCTCTGAGGCATGACTGATCTTTTAGTAGGGAAAAGAAAACCCTAACTTAGTTCCCCAAATCTATTCATGGGCCAAAAGGATATTTTCTTACCATAGGAGCTCAAGTGAGAGGCTGATTAGAGTGCCACAAATTTGTTTTGTTTGGGGACAAACCCTTTGACAGAAACGGAACAGTTATAGATTTCCAAGGCAATGTTTACATTTTTAACGTGGTTACTAGACAACCCAAAATTACTTATGTGGCTCACATTATATTTTTATTGGACAGCAAGGAGTTTCATAGGGTCAATGGGATCCATTCACAGAGTCCCCTCCCTACTTCCTGCCTCATCTGCATTCCCACAGGCTGCCACTCACGGGACTAGGCTGATCACACACAAAAGCTTGAGGAGGACAATTTGTAGAATGTTTGGTAACCGCGGATATATGCTGTTTGATAAATTCAGAAACTGTACAGGAAGTGATGACCTGGCTGTAAAACCAGCTCCTTTCCACCACGGTGGAAATGATGGAAGGTTCTGGTGTTTGCTCCTGAGCAGCTCTCCATAAGCAAGTCTAGATCCAGCCCATGCAGCAAGGTCCCATCTGCATGCACCCCATGTCATGGCTGTCCTTCGCTCTCCAGGGCAGCACTCAGACACCCAACAAGCAGTGGTGATTTCTTAAGCCCTCCTCAGCTGTTTCGGGGCCGTCTTGAGACAGATCAGGTTTAAGGCACCTCACATCTGAACACAGTGAAGGTGTAACTGAAATATACTGCTGGCCCTTGGAAAGACTTCAAGCCAAGGGCTTATCAGAGGCCATGTGCAAACCGCTTGACCTCAACAGAACTTGAGATGCTCCAATGTCTGCTACACAAGCCTAAAATAGATAGTCTTATTTTAACTTCAAAGAGCTGATTGTCTCAGGCCAAAGTGAACTAGGTCACCAATGAGTGGAAGGGTGAGTTCACTACTGCTGCAGAATATGCAGCGTCCACTAGCCCAGAGACATCATTTCCTACGCTAGCCCCAGTCACGCCTAGAGCCCCAGTGCTTCCGTTGACTGGAGTTTCCACCCCAGGGGCCACGGCAGTCACCTTCTTACATTTCTTGCCTTCTAAAAACCTTAGCCAAGTGTTCCAGCAGTTCAGATCTCATCCTGTACTCACGGCCTCTGGTTTTCACAGCCTCAGATGACCTCTGTCTTCGAAGCAGGAACAGCACTTATCTCATTCCTCTATTCATGAGGAATCTACCTAGCTTTGTGCTTTGTAGCTTTATTTTAATGTTCACCTGGCCATATGGGACTGCCAGCTCCTAAGGCTTTTTTGCATCTTCCAAAATGGCCAGCAAGAGCTAAACGTTAACATTATTTTTGAACCAATGACTTCAAGACCTTTTAAAATAATTTTTGGGGGCATTGGGGATGAATTATTTGAAAGACCCAGTTTGCTTTCACTTCAGGCTCTCATTCTTAAAATTCAAATTTCACACATATACAAATCCAAAACTCATAGGTTAGTATACTTGAGAAATTTACTCATGGCCAAGGACTAAATATTTTTAGTCATTATCTTTACTATCACGTATGTCTCAAAAGGGAGAATTCAAATTACTGTTCGTTCCAATGTAACCTAGGAGACACAGAAATACTATATAAAATGGTGTCAGAACGCCCACCTCACAGTTTTATGTGCACACTTCCTTTTTACGTCAGTTTCTGAAAGCATAAAGGTCATATTCATAATTTCTCTTTCACAAATGCTTGTTTTAGAACTAGAAGGGGTCCAAGTGATCAGCTGGCAGAAAGTTTTTTGTTTTTTTGTTTTTTTTCATTTTCTTTTCTGTTTGAAGACTTCTGACTCTGGAAGTTGTCTCGTGGATGTGTCACAGGTATCTCCTGCTTCCAGCCAGCAAATACATTTGCAAAGGGCCAAGCAGCAGGAAAGCCACCACCTGCTTTGAAAGTATGTACCAAGTGGTCAAGAGCTGGTCATCATTACGTTAGTAGTTTAACAACTCATCAATACTTTTGCATATGAAATCCTAGCCAGTATTGATAACAATGTGTTACTCAATTTTATTTCAACTTGTAACATATTTTCCTGTATGTTCTCAAGAAAAGGCATCCCTACTCATTGTAAAACATCACCAGAGGACATTTACCTCCATCCTTCGTATGCAACTTATCAACTGTTAGGTCAATTAACGTTTTTCATTAGAAAGGCTTTAATAACATTGTAAACTCAGACTGTATTTAAGAAGGATTTAAGCCTAAGTAACGGTACACACATCAAAAGTTAGGAACTTGCTTGCTGATATTTATGTAGGCTGTACTGTTACCAGTTGTATAACATGTCAAGGTTTTTACCTTTTGATCAACTTGAGCTGCTGTGAGACAGATGTTAAATGTGTACTCAAACGGCAAGAAAGTGCTAAGGCCTCATAGAGCAGTGATTAGTGAAGTTACGCATGCTTGACTATTTGATGCACTTCCAAGCGTGATGTTAGTTCAAATGCTTTTTCCTAACATGGAAAACATTACCTTCTTCTTGAGGGACTGTTCCACTTCTTGTACGTGCAGGCTGCTCGTGGCAGACGCTTTGCCATACTCCTGCTTTCTGGAAAGTCTGTTTTTCCAGTCTTCCTCACCGCTCTTCTTCAATAGTGCTAATCTAAGGGGAAAACATACCAACCACACAGTTCAGTGTCCAATGCTTACTTGTAATAGAACCATAATTGAGGTAAGTTAGAAGTCTTTGTCCACTAAATGACCACAGGAACCTAATTTTAATCTTTTTGAGTTTTATTTATTCTACACAAAGTTAAGCATGTCTGGAAAAAGAATATAGGAGCACCTTTTCTAAGATGTTCCCAAAGATTTTTAAGTTGATTGACATGCAGAGCTTTAAATCTGACTTGTCAGAAAAAAGAGGCATCATCATTCCACCAAAGGAATAGCTGTGTTTTGTCCTTGCCCTTGGGCTGAGAACATGGAGATAAAAAGTAGCCGGTCCCCAGAGAAAAAGAATGTCTGCTAGTGACCCCTTCTGGTCACTTGATAAAATAACATTTAATGACAAAGGCTGGATAGTAACTTTATTTGCAGAAAACAAAGCAGAAACGGATTTAAAAACTTAAAGCTATGAAACACTGACCATCTCTTAATAGCATACCTTTCCATTACAGGTAAAAGATGATGTTTAACATTATTTCTCTTCCTGTATTCTAAGCCCTGTTCTTTTCTTCCAAATGGGCTTGGTTTTTCTAATCTATCTTCTTAATACAGAAACTATTCTCTACAAACCCGTTTTAAAAATGATTACTTCAACTGTCCTCAGGGGAAAGCCATACACAAAAAAAGAATCTAATTAACTGACATTTTCACCTAACCTACTTTAGTTCAACTATGGTGTGACTTGATATAAAGCTGCTTGGGTGTTATAATCTGTGAAGGTTATTTTCATGAACATGACCCTGTTCCAGCTAACTCTATTATAATGAATAGAGTTAATGAAGTCTGAGGCATTTAAGTTGGACAAACATGGTAAAGATAAAAGCCAAAAAAGTGGTGATCATTAAATTCATTTGAACTGCTGCTCCAACGATTTAAAAATTGGGGGGGGGGAAAATTATTAGATCCTTGCCCTTCTGCAGAGCCTGAAGGGCTGGATCTTTTAAATGTGATTAATGCATAGCCATAGACAGTGTATTTTTAAGCAGCACATCCGCTCTAGTTTGGCGGTTAACTCCGGTCAAGTAGCCTGGTCTCCTTTCCTTATTCCTCATATTAGAAACTGGAATGATGGTCCCCAAAGGCCCTTTGGATTAGGTTCCTTATTTCTTTTAAAAATTTAATTGGGAGTTGGATGAGGATTTACATTCCCCAATAATAAGGTTTTTTTAAGAAGGTGAAAGAAAAAAATTTCAGGTACTTAAACAAGAATCCATTTATAGCTACAAATTTATACATAATTACACCTTATACTTGTCTATTCAGTCAAACAATGAAAAGGAATCCATGAAGAAAAGGACCCCCTAAAGGGGGCAGGGGCTTCTGACTTGGACCTGTCCTCTCCCCAATATCTTTTTTTCCTTTCCTTCCTTTCATTCCCCCCTTCCCTGCCTCCCCCCACCCCATTGCCTTCCTTTCCTTTCCTGCTATGTGACAGCAGGTAAGACCTCAAACGACCATTCTATAAAACTGGTATAATGCCACCTCATCTATCTGTGATATTCTGACTTACAATAAGAAATATATTATTGATCTTTGCCCCTGTTTCTGGCACAGACTCCTGAAACTCCTGGAATTTCCTAAGTGATGAGAGCCATAAAAGTGTCTTTTATTATATTAATATGGTGACTTTTGGGAAGCATCTCAGGATGGGGGCTGGTGCCAGGAAAACCAAACATGGGATTAGAGGGTTGGAGCTTTCAGCTCCACCCCCTGACCTCTAGGAAGGGGAATGGGGCTGGAGGCTGATTAAATCATTGGTCATGGGCATTTGAACTCAATCACCTGTAATGAAGCCTCTATAAAAACCCAGGGGGACAGGGTTCAGAGAGCTCTCAGGTTGGTGGAATGTGGGGATTTGGGGAGAGTGATGCATTGGGAGAGGGTATGGAAGCTCTGTGCTCCTTCCGACATACACTTTCATCTGCCTGTTTCTGAGATATATCCTTTTGTGATAAATCAGCGAGCTAGTAAGTAAAATGCTTTTCTGAGTTTTGTGAGCCACTCTAGCAAATTAATCTAACCCAAGGAGGGGGTTGTTGGAACGCTTGATTTATAGCCAGTTGGTCAGAAGGAAGGGGTGTACTTTCTACTGGCATCTGAAGTGGGAATGGGAGGCAGTCTTGTAGGACTGAGACTTCAGCCCGTGGGATCTGATGCTATCTCCAGGTAGACAGTGTAGACAGTGTCAGAATTGAGTTAAATTGTAGGACACCCAGCTGGTGTCAGCATTGCTTGGTTATGGGGGGAAAGAAACCAACACCATTGGAAACTGGAGTCAGAATCTTACTAAGACAGGCCTCATTTGGCTCAAGCACTCATTTAGCCCTAAATTCTATAATCTGTGGTGTTTGACAGTACTCTACATGCTACAAGGGCTAGTTCATAAACTTGAAAACAAACACTAAATTATTTTTAAATGTTTTCATCTGAATTTCAGTCTATATGACTAAGATTTATCTTTTCTCCTGTTATTCTGAATGAGTCATCTTTATTTTGATAAGAAAAAAAATCTAACAAAATTAAATCATTAAAAGATATAATTAGTATTAATATTTGCATGCCGCAGTAGTAGGGCTTTAAAAGATTTCAAAGTACAGTAAAACCTTTGATTGCGAGTAACATGGCTTGTGAGTATTCCACCAGATGAGCAAACATTTCTAATACATTTTAACTTGGTAAACGAGCGATGTCTTGCAATGCCAATAGTTTGTTTCCGGAATGAATTATGCTCGCAAACCAAGCATCTATAAATGAAACTTTCAAAAAATAAGCACGCTGGTACTTTTATTCCTAAATAAAAAGGTACTTCTAGTTCATCATCTCTTGAAGATGGACAGTCATCTCACTGTAATTTTCCTTGCAAACTGGTCTTAGAACCAGCTCTGCCTCTTCACCTTTCATGTGGACCAGTAGCTATGCATTTTGACCAGCTACCTTTTTAATCAGTTGGGTTCCAAATAATTTGAGAGAATTTAAAAAAAATTAAAAATTCAGCCTTGTGAGTTGGGTTTATTAAAATAATGCACTAAAAAGTCTTTGAGGACCTTCTCAAAAAGAAGCTCCCACATGTTTGAAGCCATGACAACATTATCTAAATCATCATTTCATTTTCCTGGTGGCTGACTTGGGGAATGAAAAACTGACTTAGAAAAAAAACAAATTGTGGAATCTTTAATCACTTTGTAGTCTACCATATACTCTGCTGATCTGTACAACAACTTCTAAGAAACTGCCGTTATTTCCAATCTGACAGGCAAGGAACAAGGCACACGCAGGCCAAGGATTTGGTTGACTGAGGTCACAGTGTGTGTCAAAGGGGCAGGAGATATGGTTCCAACCCAGGCATGTCCAGCCTCCAACCCAGGCTTGTTTTGCTACATGAGTGCATTAACTGACCAGACACATTTTGCCCTAAGGGTTCGGGAACAGCATAGTATTCTGCTTATTGTAATGTTCCCCCCGCCCCCGTTCCCCCTGAACGGCCTTCAAAGAATTCCTCCATTCCAAGAGACTGAAATCTTGCTTCTGGATGTGTTGGCGGGGTCATCATCGGGGACTTCCAAAGACTACAGAGTAACCAAAATAATATGGAAGAAACTGTGCTTCAATTGAGCCCACATGGTACTTGGACCCAGCCCTAGCCTACAGAGTGCAAATGATGGATAACTAAAAAATAACACGCACTGAAACTTTAATGTATTATTCCTGTCCCTTTAGATTTCCTACTTGGTGTTCAACAAGCTGAGGAGGGTAAAAGGCCTTTCCAAATGCATTCCCTCCTCCTGCAATCTCACGACCCTCCTGACTCACCGCAGACCGCCCTGCGCTGCAGAGGGCCGTGGAGTGAAACGTCTGGTCCTACACATGAAATAAATTACTGCCTATGCAATTCAAACAACTGTCAGCGCTTTTAACATCTGCCAAGTCCAAGTGCTATTTGCAGGGCTGTGATGTTGAGAGCCTGGACATCTGCTTAGTCTGAGGCTGAGAGACCAGTGAGTGGCACTGTGTTAACCTCTTAACCCCAAGGCCTGGCCAGGGCCACCATGACGTGCGCTTGCCAGGCTGACCAGGGAAATGTCCACCCCTTTTGCCACAAGCCCACACATTTTCAGCAGGGAACACTGGCCCGAGATGGCTGTTTCAGTGGCACTGATCTGACAGACCTTCCTGATGAGAACTAGTCCTATAGGTTCACAGAAGTTAGGGCTGGGTCAAATATGGGACAGGCAAACCATGTGCCCCAATCGTCTGTATGTTTTTTTTCTTCCCCCTTTAAAAATGTCCCTGCATTTCAGACAATCACTGGTACCACACAGATTTCAGATAGGGCTGAAAAGCAGTGATTAATATTTATATCAGAGTTAGTCTTTGGATAGTTTGCAGGCTGGAGGAATGAACTAGTTATGTCTTTTAAATGAGGACAAATCAAACATCAAAAAAGGAGGATCAAAAGGGAATGATCTATCTCTAATTCTTATGCAAATCTGGGGCCCTCTAGTGGCTGAAATCTCCAGCTACAAGGTAGGAACCTGCAGTCGGTGAGGCAGGAATCTGCAGGCTGGTGGAGGCATGGGCGGGGCGGGGCGTTCTTCAACGTTCTTCAACCAAATCCTCGCATTCCACCCATTCCCAAAGTGAAGGAATGGCTCCTTTGCCTTTTTTAATAATCTTCTCCCCGTAATATGAAAGCTCAGATTCGGTTGTTTCAGTAATTGTGGAAATAAGATTCCTAAAAGCCTACTGTACTTTTAAAGGGGCATCAAAGGTTTTATCCCTATATATCATAAAGATGATTTGCTTTTTCAAAGACGTTCCCAAACAGGAACAATTTACACCCCAATCATTTAGATAGTTATGAAACAGCGATTTTTTTATTAATCCAGTGAAAAAAAGCAGATTTTATTGACGTGTTATGCTAGCTAGGGATCAAACTTGACATTCTAGAAGTCAGAAAAGATGGAAAAAGAAAAGGAGCTTTTAGACCTGTGTCCTCGAGCATCAGACATGTTGTACGAGTGTGTTGAGGACTGAGGTGGGGGAGTTGGAGACCAGCCCCTGCTCTCAGTTCCGGTCACATGACCCTCACAGCAGCTGGACTAAACCCCTCTTTTTGGTAAAATGAGGGGGTCAGAGGAAGTTAGAATAAGGCTCAAAAGTACTGTTTTATATACCACCTCAAAAAAGAAAAGTAAAGCCCGCATAAATACAGGAATAGCTTTCTTATTTTAACTTTTTTTTTTTTTTTTTTTT